AAGGTGCCAAAAACATGTCTCAGGTTGTGGTTAAAATATTTTTATGATCTCCACCTTCCCCTATTTTCTTCATTTGTTTTTCTTTTAAAAAGGTGAAAGGTGACTTTCTGAGTAAAAATTCCTATCTGCCCATGGGTATTTACACATTCCCTTCAAGGCACACTTCTGAGAATTACCTTCAGGTTTATCACCCTTATTTAAACATTGCAAAACTCCACCCACATTTCTTCAACTTCTCCCCAAAACAGCCAGACTTTCTTGTAATCTTTTCAAGATACAATCCATTTATGAAGGAATAAATGCTGCACATCAATCATATGATACAATCTGTTGGGTTTCCTTTGATGCAAAGTTTTTTAATTACAATTTTTGAGTACTCTACCCACCTTTGTGTGATATTAAGATAAATATAAATGATATTTACTGTAGTACTTACAGCTGAACTAGTAAAATTAGCCCAGCTAATGTGGCTTTTGTCGGACATGTAACCTACATATATGTTACATGTCAGCTACCAGAATCTTGCTATTCAAGTGAAGAGTCTGTATGTTCTACATAAATGCGTTTAAACACTGATTGCCTCAATGGCTTCTAGGCTATGAAGCTCCTCCATTTTGTTCATTACACTGTGAACTTTACTGTAGTATGAGATTGAACGCAGCTTGAGATTGAACGCAGCTTGTCCACATCATTTGACATATTTTCCTTCTCCATCTCAGCAGCCATTTTGTTCATGTATCGTTCTCTCACACACAGGTGGAGAGTTTCCACATGCTTTCCTTTTCTGGGGCTTGCCGACTAAGATGGCGCGGATCTTCCAATTCAGACTTGTGCCAACTATCTATTGATTGAGGGACTGGCAAAAATTGAGGCTTGCCTAGGACATCATCTATACAAGAATCACCGTTGATTTAAACTGATTCTGACGCTTCTTGCTAAAAGTTTGAGTTTTCCTGAGAGTTCAGCTGAATGGACGTGGTGTGACTGCTGTCTTGCTTACGTAGAGGCTTTACCTTTCATGGTCATGTTAGTTGAACTTGGCTTTGATCCCAAAGACTTTGGAGTTCTCTAGCAAACAGCATAACAAGGTGAACAGCAACTTCAATGTTAGACGTTTTAGCCGTCTGATGCATAAATTATGTAATTATGTAAGCCTGAGTCAAAAAGATTTTATTGCGTATTTTATGTAAGGGCAGAGTATAAGTGAATCAGTTAATCGGGTTTTTAGCACATTTCAGCAGCAAGGCAGTTCAAAGTGCTTTACATTATAAAAATAAAAAAATACAAATTGAAAACACAGTCAACATTTGAAAAGTTACCTTTTGCCAAATTCTGGTGTTAGAAATCAAAAATAATGTTAATATTTTAATTATTTTATTGATTATGATTCAAAAGCAACTCTAAACAGGTGGGGCTTTTAGTTTGGATTTGAAGCAACTCAATGTTTTGGTTGTTTTTCTGGTAGTTTGTTCCAGATTTGTGGTGTGTAGAAGCTGAAGGCTGTTTCTTCATGTTTGGGTCTGTTCTGCAGATGCAGAGCAGAACCAGAACCAGAAGACCTGACATGTCAGGAAGATTGATACAACAAGAGCAGATTTTTAATGTGTTGTGTTGCTTTGCTGTTCAGTGATTTATAAACAACAGTATTTTAAAGTCAACTCTCTGAGCTACAGGGAGCCAGTGTAGGGACTGTAGAACTGGGTGATGTGGTCTGTCGTCCTGGTTTTAGTCAGAACACCAGCAGCAGCATTCTGAATCAGATTTTTTTTTTTTTTTAGGCAGACCTGTGAAAACACATGGATGAGTTCCTCTGAATCTTACTGGTTCATTAATCCTCCAATACTGGAAATGTTCTGAAAGTGGCAGAAGGCCGACTTTGTAACTGTTTTCATGTGGCTATGAAAGTTCAGGTCACAGTCTTTCACTAGACCCAGATTTCAAGCTTGATTGCTCGTTTCCAGCTATAATAACTGAAACTGTGCATTGACTCCAGGTGAATCCGATTGCAGATTTTAGAGTTCATGAAAACAGCAGCAAAAATGCAGCATGAAGACAAACATCTTTTGCTTCTTTGCGTCAAACCTCACAAGGTAAAATGGGGATTACAGCCCATCTGTTTGCAACAAACAGGAATCAGGTGCTCTTTAACCTGCAGGATCAGACAAACAGGTTGTATCTACTGGGGCCGGTGAAAGGTGAGGAGGCGAAGTGTGATTGTTCAGAGGATGACCTCTGAACAATCGTGTGTGACACTTTGGGGGGAAAACTGTTTTATGCCAGCGTAATGGACCTTTTGTGACTGCTGTTTGAATAAATACTAATCAAGAAATGTTCATTGGGTTCTATCTCAACACTTGTTGGTCATCAGGAAATTCAGAATTTAGCTTTTCTGTCTGTTTTCACATTTTGTGAGGCTGAATAAAACCTTCGTCTGATAATATATGCAAAATATCTTCCAGCAACCTCAGATGTAGCCAAAATAACTTCTTATTCCTGCAGGTGGCAGCTCATCTGACCTTGCCAGCTGTTATGTTTAAAAAAATAGTTTAGACTGAATGTTGGTCAAAACAAATCAAATGGATTATACTATAAACTATCTTATTTAGATTTAATGTAGAAATCTTTGAAATGGTTGTTGTAACTCTAAATATTGATTTAATCTGAACCTATCTGTCTATTAAATGATTACAGTTCTTTAAAACAGTATTTAACTCCTTATGTGTTTGTTTTGTTTACCTGAGTGATCCTGAGTAAAATTATTCTGAGCAGTAAAATTATGATTTAATGAAATAAGAGGAGGGAACTCCCATCACTACCCTCTGCAGGACTCTTCAGCCTGCTGTTCTGCAAACTGTAGAGTATTTGAAGGTGATTTAACTTGAAAGAAGCAATTTAAATGATAAAGTTTCTACAGTTGTCTTTTTCTTCTTTCAGTTTATTAAAAAAACAAACAATTTATTCAACTCTTGGAGGTTTGACAAAATTAATAAAAAAAAGTTAACACACCTTACTATTGTAAATTTATCTTTCACAAACTCACACGTTTAGGTTCAAAATCTAAAAGTGGTTCAATTTATTTGACTTAAATAGAAAATTGTAGTCATGACTAAAAGTGGCTTAAATGTTTTACAGTGCAGCTGTGGTACCACACTGAGGATGCTGGGAGAACATTATTTCAGGGCACTTTGACCAGATGAGGTCATCAGAGACGTGTAACGCACCAAACGTCAGACCCTCCCTCTCCACAGTTGGCAATGCTGAGGGTTGTGAGCTCAGACTGTGACCTTTAAGATGATAATCATCTTCGTTTTGCAGTAACTTGGCTGTTAACCTTTTTCACATAGCTGATTGTTTGTAGCACAAACATTTGGAAACCCAGTCAGCATGAGAGATTATTCCCATTTTAGATCATATTTTTGCATATTTTAAGAAAAAAAAATCTATTATAATAAAATCTGATTGCATTGTTATTATTTTAAATTAAACTGTGGAAATATTTGAGTTTGTGTGACAAAGTTTTCAGCAAACTAACGTAAAGATTATGCATCTATTTGGTCAGACTTTATGTTATGACGATATTGTCTGATTAATGTTTTTCCACCCTTTAACTGTTGAACATCCCAAAGAAACATTGTCTTATTTTGTTATTAAAGCACACAAAAAATGTCAATACAATTGTTTGATTGGATTCAAATTGAGGATTCAGAGCCGGTTTTCTTTAGCTCAACGCTGCCCTCTGCTGATTTGTTCCTACATCTTCTTTAAAGTTAGGAACCCTCCAAACAAAACCAACAAAAAACAGATGTGAGGAGAAGACAAAACTACAGTTTTACATAATACTCTAGAAATATCTATTTCTTTGTATTATATCCAAGCAGCCATTTGTTTTGATCAGGAGTTTTTCCTTTAGGCTCAAGCTGATTTTCACATCATTTTCAGACTCTTCATCATATTAGAGGGTTTTAAATTGGTTTCTTATCAGTCACTCAGTCAAGAAAAAGAAAAATTCAGTGGATTAATGACTGTTCTGCTAAAACAGAGACATCTAAACAACAAACCAGATTTAAATGAGCTATTGCTGTCTGTAAAATTCCAAAAAATTAAAATAAAAAATACAGATTGAAAGGTAGAAATGTGAATTAAGCTCCAACAATTGATGCCCAAAGAGCAGTTAACTCCTTATGTCAGTAGATGATTATTCAAAATGTAAAAATTAATACGTGTTTTTCTGACGTCAAAATTATTTGTTTTTTCACTAAATGTCTCGGTGGTAGTAACTGGTTCTGAAAACCAGCGTTCAACTCAGAGACTCATAGAACAACAACCATAAACGTTCACTCATACACAGGGACAATTTAGAGACAAATTGAACCAACAGTCATGTTTTTGGCATTGGAGGGAAGCTGCAATACCTGGAAAGATCCCACAAATGCATGGGGAAAACATATAAAGTCCATACAGAAAGACCTCGGGACCCTTTTGTTGCAATGCAATAGTGCTAAATGAATAAATACATTAAAAAAAACAGGAATTTTTAGTGTTCTCGTCAAAGTCCTCTACTGAATCTGATGATGATTCTGTTTCTTGATAAGAAGGCGATTCATGCTCCACACTTAATGCCTACTTTCTTCTTCTGCTAGAGTTAAAATATATAAAAATAATTCTACTCTAATTCTTGGCTCCTCTTCCCACTCCATGCAGATAGACATAAAAAATTGACTTAATAAGCGTGTTTCTTAGTCCTAGCCGCACAGGGGCGCTATTTCACTTACACTTCAACTTGCAGCATGTCTCGTCAAATCAGCGAAAATTAACCGGAAAAGAAGCCATTGATATTCAAGCAACAAACAAAAAGTTAACATTAAAAATATTTAAGCTAAATAAAACTCAGTTATGAATGTTACTAACTCAGATGCAGCGACACATTCAGTGTTTTGGCGGTTGGTTATGTTTAGAATAACCGAGTTATTTTATATTTTTGAGCCTTTATTCTGAAAGATTCCAACCGGAAGTTAGATAGCACCCGGTGTCAGTTAAGTTGATGCTGCAGCTAACAGCAAAGTTGTCTTCGGAACCGCAAAGAAAAGGCGGACTGGGTCTTCTTTTCTGACATTTTCATGTCGTCGACCGTCTGCTGGTGGTTTTCACGGAGGTCGAGATGAATCTAGGTGAGTTTTTCCTAACCTTCGGGAACGTTTCCCCCGCGTCCGTAGACCGTTACTAACAGTTTTGACTTGATTTGTTTCCAGATTTAAGCTCGGAATCCCATCTGAAGGAGAAGAAACAGCGGAGTTCGCCTGCGAAATCCCTTTAAAAGCGTCAGCGGTTTGTTTTTAGCTTCGCCTGTTTTTACCAGCGGGTCGGTTAGTTAGTTGTCGGTTTTAAGCGAGTTTACGCGGAGAAATCATGGCGTTCTTCGTGAAAAAGAAGAAATTCAAGTTTCAGACCCAGCTGACCCTGGAGGAGCTGACCGCTGTGCCTTTTGTCAACGGGGTTCTGTTCTGCAAACTGCGGCTGCTGGACGGAGACTTTGTCGCTACTTCTTCCAGGTACAGAAAAAAAAGCTGCAAAATGGCTTTTAAATGCTTAAAGAACAGCGTTTAAATGTCATATTACACTTTCAGATTTAGTTTTAATTAATGTTTGGAGAAATTCTGTGAATTATTCACTTAACCTCTGCAATGGCATTCAATTTAATTAAAAAATGCTTTATTTATCCGAAGCAAAAGTTAACTCAATCAAGTTATTTGGTGATGATCTCCTGTAGCAGTCTGTCATGCAGTGTGTCTGAAGAGGCTCATTATTGAAGACTGATGCTGTCAGCGAGCAGAGATTAGATTTCAGAATAGAAATATCTTTTTTTTTTGTCCTACATTGGGGAAATTCAGGTGTAACGGGAACAAAGTGAGAGAATTTGGGCATGCAGATTCACAAAAAGATGAAAGTATAAATATATATATTTAAAAAAAAAAACTAAGTCAAGAATAACATACTGTGCAGTCCAAAATGGTGCACTTTGTGCCAAAGGAATGTGCAACTGAGTAGGATAATAGTATAAAATGTAAAAAAAAGTGTATTTGGATGCACATTAAAATCAATAGACTATTTAGAATAATTAAAAATAAAACTGTTCACTGTAGTGAGCTAGGAACTAGCAAGCTAGGAACACTACAGTTCCTAGCTTGCTACTACTGTTATGATGCCCTTGTCTATTTAGAAAACATTTTACTATTGCTCCTAAGAAAAGAGTTAAAAACTAAAACACTCCCAACTTTGGCCCAACTAGTTATTAGGGTTAGTTAGTGATCACACTAATATGTACATTTGTTTGATCTGAAACAAAGACATCAGAAAGGGGCGAACACTTTCTTTTCCTCAATCTCCTGAGACTTCTTTACAAATTATATGTTGAGCCAAAAATAAAATTTAGTTGCAGTTTGTAGCAGAGAATTGTATCTTCTTTACCATCCTGTTCATTTTGTGGTGGCAAGATAAATATGGATCCTCATTCAGCCTTTTTCATCACAGCTCCAGGTTTTTTTTAATTACTGCTGTGATTGTATGTATATTAATGTTTACTCAAGTTATTTATTTATTTATTTTTTTTTGTGGTCCTTTCCTAAATTGTAATCAGCAGAAGAAAGTCTTGAAAGACATGTTTTCTTGTTTTTCCCCTTCTGAAGAGTGTCTAAAATAGAAAAATGTCATATTTAGTTATTTAAAAATGACTAGCCACTAATCAACTTGAAAAGGTAAAACATACATGTAAAAATGCCTGATAAGAATGATCAGTTTTGCCACAAATTATTTTGTAATCAAGCTTTTGAATCTTTAAATTTTGAGTGAGATTAGGCCACTGCATTAGAAACTGAGAAAAGCTGCATTGTTTGTTATTAATATTATCCAAGAATACTGACACCAAGTTGTCATAAAAAGGAGACACAAAACTGTTTTAAGTTTTCTTCCTTCCTCTAAAAGCTCAGTTTGAGTTTTGTTTGCAGGTTGTTGAGTTTCTGAAGCTCAGGCCGTCTATCGGAGAACTTTTACCTCTTGAGTCATGTTTAATCGCAGGGTGTAGCCATGTTAAGCCACCTCTTTGAGTCTCTGCACTGGAGCCTCTCATGAGCTTCCAGACTAAACACAGCTAAACTCAGCTCATAAGATCTGTGTTTACAAGCTTTTAACCTCCACTGAGATTAGCCAGATTGGGAAGATGACTCTCAGCTGGCCGATTCAGATCTTCCTCTGATCAGTTCCTAACATCTGCAGCTTTAGCCTCTTTTCCTTTGATTCTCAATACTGGATTTATTGCCTGGAAATATGTTTGCTATGCATCTTTTCACTGATAAAGTGACAGACTGATTTACTTGAGACTGTTTAATGTTTGCAGTCTGGCTCCGAAGGAAGCACAAGCACAGTTTTAAAATTTGTAAACCATCATCTCAAACAATTTCAAGCTGCAGAGGTGTCAATGTCATACTTGTTGTTTTATTTTTGGCCCAATCAATAAAAATAGAAAGTGAAAACTGGATAAAACAGGAGGTCATGCCACTAATTTGGTAGTATTTCACACATTTAACACAAATCAATAATTATTATAGACTTATCAATGTTGCTTATATCGTGCTAAGTTTTCCAGTCCTAAACTAAACCAAGAGAAAATGAGTAACTTAAATTTCAGATCTTCATGTCATGTGTTGGCTGGTTTCAGAGACTAAATCTGGCTTAAATATTTCCCAGCTGAAGCTGCAGTTTCAACAGGTCTTTGAATCGCATCACATCTTTTTCTGCCCAACCAAGCTGCGTCTGTGCATGTGGTGTCAGAGGTCGTCCTCCTCTCTCCTGGTTATGCAACGGCTCTGATTTCTCGCCCTCCCGACTCCGTTATCATCTCTGCTTCTAAAAACAAGGCGCTCTCAGAGGAGCGAGGGACGGCGCAGGGAGGCTCGTACGCAGATTAGGGTTATGTCACCGATCTGACAAACGTGGTCTTTGTATGACGGGCCTTGTTCTCGCCGTGGGTCGCGAATCGGGACCGGCGAACCACCGGGCTGTGAAAGAGGGTCACATGTTGGGAACGTGACTGACTGGTTCTCAGGGAAAGTTTTGTTTGGCTCCTCTGATCTCAGCCATCAGTATCACTCACTTTAGATAACGCAGCTGCTGCAGGTAAAAACACTCCAGATAATCCAACTGCACTCTTCCTCATTGGTTCTTAATATTTGTGTCTTTGCCAGAGCTCTGAGGAAATGAGCAATAAGAATCTGTAATCTGTAAGAATCTGTAAATCTCCTGTTGTATCCATGGATGGTACATAAAGGACTAATAGTCTGATTCTGATTTTCACTTTAAGAGATAGGAGCAGGAAAATGCTTCTGAAAATTTGTTTCCTTTTATGGAGCAGTTTTTAAAAGTTTGGTCTGTATTCCTGAAACATTGTTGTACATCTGTAACACTTGAACTAAATCAACCTAGGGCTTGACAATATGGCTGAAAAACATATCGCAATATAAGCCATTCATAACAGTCAATATCAGTAATTGATTAGTTTTTTTTTTTATACATCTGAAATACTACCAGTGACATGACATTCCTGTTTTTTCCCCAAAGTCTTTGCTCCATGCCATTTGTTTTTTTTTTGTTTTTAAGCAGTTATAAGGAGCAGCGGCAAAACGGTAAACTGTTTCTGCACCAGTTACAAGGTAACTAAAGAGTGAGTGAGTGAGTTGATTCCACCAACCTAGCTTAGCTGGTAGTTAGAAGTTGAGCAGCTAAAGTCTAATTCTATTGTGGCAAGAAGTATCTTCTTTCTTGACTGCCATGACATGCTAACATGTCAATTTCTGAGCACCAGAGACATATGTCACAGCAACATGTCATGTATGACACCATCAGTTGTTGACAAACACTGCTAATCCACCTCGTTTGCTTTTGCTGCTCCTCTTTAAATCTGCTTTGTTGCAGGGGGAGAAAAGCGCCTCCTTTGTTGCACTCAGATTTAATCTTTTTATAGACTTTTGTTCACGAGGCATTGCTTTTTAGGTCAATTATTCCCTCTGGTTTTGGATGTTGTGCTGCTGTAAGCAGTTTTGCTCTTTTATTTTTTATTTTTTCACCTTCACACAGTGACTATGGTTTCTTTTACACCTGGTTGCAGCTGATTATCTTCTCATAATCTCAGGTAATGCCACCAAAAAGCAGAAAAAGGAGGAGGAAGTTCAAGTCAACTCTCCCATCCATCACAATTTACAATGACTCTTTGAAGATACCTGGATGATATTAGTTATGACAATGTTTAATTTCCCTTTTTTAATAAATGAAGTATTTGGTAATTAAATTGAATTAACATGTGCTGATGGTATTAAGCTTGGCTTGCTCCAGGTTCACTGGTTGAGCAAAATGTCAGTTTTTTCCTAGATTTAATTGGATTTTAATTTTATTTCATTCACTCATTAATAAATATGAGCAGTTTATGTAATTACTAAAAGAAATCATTTACCTAAAAATAAAATTAGATATTCAACTCAGACCATTTCAAACACATTTCAAATACACAACAAAACATTCGCTCATTTAGTGAAACATTGCTTCATCTTAATCATTTTCAAATTTCATTTAAAAGCAGAGATTTAGGATCTTTATCTCACTTTCAAGATTATTTCATAAACTGACACCTTTAATTGAAAGCATCTTTCCATCATCGCGTTGTGAATCAAAAATAAAAAAATCTGTTTTCGCTTTACAAATCTGTTTTGAATTTTGCTTTTATGCGCTTTGTATGTAAATTTCTAAATATTTTACCCCATTAGAACGTGAAGTTTCAATACCTTTAACTTTGAAAAGGTTCATCATTAGATCTGGGGAAAAAATTGTGACTTTATCCAAGTTTTTTATTTTCTTGTACTGCATATTGAATGTTGATGTCTCTGCTCCATATTCTTAACTGAACCCTCTTCCATCTTTTTGGTTTGTTGAGTTAAAAGAATTTGAAAGTAGATTTTACTCCACATGGAAAATATTTTAAAACTGAAGTTATCAGGCATTTATCAGCACAGGAAGGAGTCCGTTGCATCCCGACAGCCACGTTCCCCAGCTGAAAATGTTTTCATTCTGTGCAGCTTTAAAAACAGATGGCCTCCATCTTGATTTGGCAGAAATTGGGCTCTGCTGCGACAGTATCTTTCCATTATCAGCACTCCTTTTCTAGTTGTCACACAATGAATGTTACATTTTGAACATTTTATAGCTTGGCTTTTTATTCTTGTTGATTCTGACATCTCAACACTGAACATTATTGTGCAGCACAGCTTGGCTATGGGAGGTAATTTTCTCTGGATCTGGGTTTATCCTGTCTGATGTGGAGATGAAATGACAGCCAAGGATTTTTTATTGAAGTTTTATAAAGACAGGAATGCTGGAATGCTTAGGAGAGGGAACGGTTGAGTTTTAAGAGGGTGAGCACAGAAAGTGAAGATCTCAGAAGAGTGTTCACCCAAATGTAAAAGTTTTTCTTTGACGTAAAAGCTGACTGTCAATAAAATCATCCTAA